GGTAGGTGGGTAGGTGGGTAGGTAGGTGGGTATGAGTGAGGTTGGGCAGGGAGGGTATGGGGTGGGGTAGTGGTGGTGGTGTGGTTGGGTAGCTGCAGCATTTCAGTTCAGTTCAGTTTTCCCGCGTGATCAGTCGGGTAACTCCCTCTCTCACGTCCGTCCCTCACGCCCGTCCGTCCCTCACGCCCGTCCGTCCCTCACGCCCGTCTCAAGTCCCTCACCTCACCTCCCTCTCTCCCTCGAAGCGTGTTTCACTTCAATAATTTTTCTGTATACCCAACAACTGTGTAATCTCTCCCCGCCTTATTTTTTTATCAGTGTGTTTATCCCCTCGTCCGCCATCTCCCGTTTATCCCCTCGTCCGCCATCTCCTCATTCTTGTGGTTGTGAATAACTAAAAAATAAACAAGTTTTTTTCATAATTACATTGGTGCTTCTACTTAAACCACTCCTAATCCCCTTCCTCCCCTTGCCTGCTGTCTGTGTGTGAGGGAGGTATCCTTGAGAGAGGTTTGTGGGCGTGTGAGGTTGTGACTTTAGCGTGGGCGTGAAGGGCGTGAAGGGCGTGCATAATGCCGCAGGGTACGGAACAGCACGCCATGGCGGTCACGTACGCCATCCTTGTGGTGTTATTGTTAATCTTGTGGATTCTGTACACCAGCCTCGTGTCCCCTCTCCGTTAGCTCCAGGTACTCCATAAGCTTACTCCTCTTTAAGTCCGGCTTAAGCTTAAACAACATAAGCTTACTTCTGTCTACGTCTGGCTTAAGATAAAACAACATAAGCTTACTTCTGTTTACATATATCCTAAGCTTTAAGAAAATTGCTGATTTCCGTTTAGATACCATATTTCCTAAGCTTTAAGAACCTAAGCTTATTTGTTTTTACATAATTCCTAAGCTTTAAAAACATAAGCTGATTTGTATTTACATATTTTCTAGGCTTTAAGAACCTAAGCTTATTTGTATTTACATAATTCCTAAGCTTTAAAGACAGGCTGATTTGTATTTACATATATCTTAAGCTTTAAGAACTTTTGATCACACCTGTTTACATATTTGCCAAGCTTTTATTTACGTGTTTTCCTGTCATTAACAACATATTATTGTCTGTCTGTCTGTCTGTCTGTCTGTCTGTATACATCTGACCGTCGGCTTTGGTTTCTGATTCCTCGGTCTGTCTGTCTGTTTCTCTGTGCTTCCTTCTGTCTGTTTCTCTATGCTTCCTTCTGTCTATTTCTCTGTGCTTCCTTCTGTCTGTTTCTCTGTGCTTCCTTCTGTCTATTTCTCTGTGCTGTCTTCTGTCTGTTTCTCTGTGCTTCCTTCTGTCTGTTTCTCTGTGCTGTCTTCTGTCTGTTTCTCTGTGCTTTCTTCTGTCTGTTTCTCTGTGCTGTCTTCTGTCTGTTTCTCTGTGCTGTCTTCTGTCTATTTCTCTGTGCTTTCTTCTGTCTGTTTCTCTGTGCTTCCTTCTGTCTATTTCTCTGTGCTTCCTTCTGTCTGTTTCTCTGTGCTGTCTTCTGTCTGTTTCTCTGTGCTGTCTTCTTCTCTGTGCATCTGTGTCTTTCTGTGTCTGTGCTGTCTTTGTCTGTTTCTCTGTGCTTCTTCTGTCTGTTTCTCTGTGCTGTCTTCTGTCTGTTTCTCTGTGCTTCCTTCTGTCTGTTTCTCTGTGCTTCCTTCTGTCTGTTTCTCTGTGCTTCCTTCTGTCTGTTTCTCTGTGCTTCCTTCTGTCTGTTTCTCTGTGCTTTCTTCTGTCTGTTTCTCTGTGCTTTCTTCTGTCTATTTCTCTATGCTGTCAGTCTGTGTTCTGGTCTGTAGTATCTGTGCTTTCATTATGTCGTTATTTGTCGATTCTAATTTGTCTGTCTGTCTGTCTATCTGTCTGTCTGTCTATCTGTCTGTCTGTCACAATATTTTTCTCAGGTTGTTAGAGAGAGAGAGAGAGAGAGAGAGAGAGAGAGAGAGAGAAATACCTGAGCCAAGTGTATTCGTCCCTGGCTCAAGCACCACCCCCCCCCCTTGTAAGGTGGGTGTAGATCAGGTTACACTAGGATACACCTTGGCCTGATACACCCTGCAGGTAGGTACTTAACTGAGGGTACACTTAAGATACACCCTGAAGGTACAGTATTTAACTAAGGTACATTGTAAACTACACCCTGAAGGTACTTACTAGGGTACTCTTAAGATACACCCTGAAGGCACAGTATAACTAATGTACACTGAATGGTACTTAACTAAACTCAAATTTATTTACAATTTACAAATCTATATTTTTTACACTTCAATATCATTTTCTCTCTTGATCTTCATTTACATTTTTTTTCAATTTACAGATTTATATTTTTACGTTTCAATATCTATCAATTATTTTATTTATTGTTCCTATTTATTAGTATTTTATTTATAATTTTATGGTGCGAGGAAGGTGTTACGGTGTTATAGGTAGTGAGTATATGGTATAGTATATGTCACACGGGAGGTATATCTCATGGGTATGTTGAGTGTGTTATGTGAGTGAGAGCTTTACTGTGTGGATACTAGCAGAGGAGGGAAGTCTCTCTCTCTCTCTCTCTCTCTCTCTCTCTCTCTCTCTCTCTCTCTCTCTCGCCCCAAAAAAGTATCTTTACAATTTTGTGTCAGACAATATGACACAACGGGCCAAGGATTTTGACAACCCTACCGAGACAACAGGAGTCACAGTGATCATACTGAACTTCATCGACCTCCTCCATGAAGATTTTTTTTTGGGAGAGAGTTACTTTGATAGTCGTAGTTGAAGATGTCCAGATTACTACTACTACTACTACTACTACTACTATGCAGATCTATGCAGCATTCAGTGACTGTTGCCTCATAGTCAATATCTGCAGCAGTTGTCGGCTTTGGGGCCGAAGATCTCGTTCCCCTGAGGCAGAGCAAAGCCGACCGAAGGAGAGAGAAAGACAGTCGACATCTCATCCAGGCTGTAACATAACTTCTGGGCTGCTGCTTCTTCTCGGAGATCAACTCCGCGAGTCTGGCGTAGAAACATCTTGCACTTGGTTCCATCCCACCAGAGGTTGTGAACACTAGAGGAGTGAAGCTGCCTTGATCAACGTTTTGAATTCTCTCCCGATATGCCCTTCTCTTGTCGTTCTCGTTCGTCCTATGTGCAGCATCGAGAGCTAGGTTACGGTGACATGCGGCCATGGGATAAAAAATCCTGATGTCGAAGAAAGCTCGCTGTCCCCGCGTCCAGAATCCTCCAGCACTGACGTCCACACGGGCTTCGTTAGATGTGTTTGAAGTCCTGTGTTGGAAGATCTCGCCATCCAATGGAAGGACTACTCTACTACTACTACTACTCTCTTTTTTTAACCTTTTCTTTTTTTTGTTGTTGTTTGTGTTTTGTTTTTTTTGACTAGGCGTATCTCACAAATTCCTCCTGATATTATAAATTAGTGTCAAGAACGTGTTTCTCGCATCATTACCTCGACCACGGAAGTATTTTGGTGACTATTACACCAGATTTGATGCGTGTGTAATTTTCCAAAGAGTTCCCCCTCCCATTACTCATCTGCTTCACGTTTTCTGTAGGGGGATACTATGATAAATGTGACGCGATCATTTGTTTAATTATTCACTGTTTGTTATTAAATTCAGGGTATAGTTTTTATTGTAGTTTTGTTTGTGTTATAATACTTTTCGAGTTCCCTACGGTTTTTTTTAGCAAGGTTCATGAAAGTTATCTTTTTATTTTTACTTTATTTTTGGAAAAGGAGTGAAGCGAGGAAAGAGATGAATGGGGAAGGAGAGAGGGAGAGGGGAGGAACTTGTGAGATTGGATGAGGGAAAGTGGCTGGGGTGTGAGAGATGGATGAGACTGAGGGTGAGAGAGAGAGATAAAGGGTTATGCGAGAGAGAGAGAGCGAGACTATTCCTTAGTAGCATCCAAAAACGCCCAAGACTTCAGTGGAATTGCACTACCACCCATTTTGAATAGACTAGGTGAGGGTAGACTACTCTATACCAGCGCCATCTATAGAGAGAAAGTTACACCCAGTTTACACCGGGTCACCGCCATTTTGTAAACCTCACACTCGAACTAAGTTGCCATGATTCTCCTTATAGATGGCGCTGTTTTATGCCAGCCTAAGGAGTCGAGTCAAAGAGGAATTTCGGATTTTGAACTGATGGTCTTGGTAGGGAGGAGCTGGGGTTTACCTGTGTAGGATATATTTAGGAATTATTTGTTAATTTGCCAGGGGATTGACTCAATGGTCCGCCCAGGTGACAATCTTACCCCGACACTCTTCTACCTTATACTCCGCCCCACCCCACCCCACCCGACCCCACCCCACCCTACCCCACCAGCCTCACTAACTATTCCCCCCACCACTCCACTAACTCCCTCCTGCCTGCCGCTCCACCACCTTCGAAAACAACGAAGTAATTACGAATTCCTTTAAGAATAATAATTGTTTTTTAATCCCAAATGACTTAAAAACAAACCAACCCCCGAGAGAGACTTTGTGACGCCACTTTTTGTAAATCTCCAAAAGTAAGAAAAAAGAAAAGAAAAACGTGACCAGGTAAATATTTTGTAGCCATCTTGTTACTTAAAATAAAAGTAACTTAATCATTTACTTAACATCAGATACGATACTTTTTTTGTAGTGAGTGAGTGATGTATTTATCCTGCTATGATATTTCGATGTGATTGTAATGGTAGTTTTTTTTATGTAGTTTGTTAGGTTTAGGTCTATAACACACACACACACACACACACACAGAGCTGCAACAGGAGGCGTCACAAATCACCTGTAGTAGCCAATAAAGGGACTTACCTGTACCACTTTATGGAGGCAATACAGGAGAAATTAAAACAATAACTGGCAACTGTCTCCCACATGGACCACTTACCTGAGCTCTTGGCCACACACACACACGGTCCTGAAGGATGTGGGTGATGGCAATATGTCCAGTATAGAGGGAAGGAGGAGCATAATAAAACAAAAGTCATAAAATAATGTTAGTTTATTGGTCAGTTATTATGGTCTTCAACAAAGTATAATTATACAAGTCTTTTTGTTTGTTATTTTCACCTCACTCACAACACCACACTCATAACCTATTGAGGACCTGCCTGAAGAAGTCCCCCCCCCCCCTCCCTTCGTCAGTAGTTACTGGATCGTGAGCACAGCCTCCACGTCCTCCGGGGTCAGAACACCGTCTTGGACCAGCTCACCCAACTTTTCTACCACCTCTTTCTCCTGTCACGTAAATAAATAAATAAATAAATAAATAATAAAACAAATTAAGATAAACACATAAATAGATAAATAAATATATAACAAATAAACAAACAAAAAACAAATAAATAAAAACACAAACAAATAAATAAATAAATAGGTCAGGTCAGGTCAGGTCAGGTCAGGTCAGGTCAGGTCCTTAAGACTTACCAGGAAAAAGTTGGGCATCATATTGACTTCCTGTTGAGGGCGGTTTTCATCCCTCGGCTCCACCCTCGGGCCCTCCCTCTGCTCCACCCTCGGGCCCTCCCTCTGCTCCACCCTCGGGCCCTCCCAACCACCACGACGGTATTGAGACACGCGATTTGATGTTACCACTGCTTCGTCCATGTCCCCTTCTGCGCCTCTTGCACGACCTGCCACGCCCTCCTCCTCCTGCCGCTGGTGACGTCGAGTCCACTCATCAACCTGCATAGGAAAGATTTATACTCGTGTGTGTGTGTGTGTGTGTGTGTGTGTGTGTGTCGCAAAGTGTGTTGGTAGATTCAACATAAAACCCAACCCAACCCAACCCAACCTAACCTAACCTAACCCAACCCAACCAGACATTTACACCCCGTGGTACATTAGTATATTACAATGTTAACTTTCATGGCATATATATTTTTGTTAATTCTCGGTGAGTTTACGAGAATATTCAATAAAATCTCGATTTAATGGACTATATGTAAAGGGAAAGCCATCTAAGAACAATGACTTAATCGCTCGAGTACGATGACTTGAGTACTATATCATCGTACTCAAGGGAATTTGCCATCCTGTTGAAGGAGTTAAGACATTGTACTCAGGATGTTATTATATTCGAGGTTAACTTTTTGTACTCAGGGGGTTAATTCAATGTACTCAAGGGGTTAAGAAACCCTAATCGATAGGCTAACTCATTGTACTCAAGGGGTTAAGTCATTGTCCGCGAAGGGTTAAATCATCGTACGACACTAAAATAGGGCGTGTAATTAAATCTGACGAGGACTCCGCAAAACTACAGGAAGATCTAAACAAATTTTTCGAATGGTCTGAAAAATGGCAGATGAAATTCAATGTGGACAAATGTAAAGTACTCAGTATAGGAGATGTAAACAGGGAAACCAGATACCAGATGAACAACGATGTTATTGAGAAATCCGACTGCGAGAAGGATTTAGGAGTAATGATAAGTAGGAATCTTGAGCCAAGTAAACAATGTGTATTTGCTCGAAACAAGGCTAATAAAGTACTTGGGTTCATACAAAGTTACAAGACTAGCGAGGTTATCCTAAAACTATATCTTGCGCTTGTGAGACCTCACTTGGATTACGCAGTTCAATTCTGGTCACCGTATTACAGAATGGATATAGAATCCTGGGAAAGAATTCAGAGGAGAATGACAGGACTAATCCCGGGCATTAGGAACCTTGAGTACAGGGACAGGTTAAAGCATCTTAATTTGCACTCCCCCGAGAGACGTAGGGTGAGGGGCGATATGATTGAGGTGTATAAATGGAAGTCAGGGCTGAACAAAGGGGACATAACAAAGGGACTCAAACTATCCAACCAGGAGCGAACTCGTAACAATGGTTTTAAATTAGACAAATTTAGATTTAGGCGCGAAATAGGTAAACACTGGTTTGGAAATAGAGTAATGGACGAGTGGAACAAGTTACCAAACATCATCATTAACTCGAATACGCTGGGCAGCTTCAAACATAGGTTGGATGGATATAATTTATGAGCAATAGGGGTTGGGTGTAAATGGGACTGCCCAGTATGGGCCAATAGGCCCGCTGCAGTTTCCTCCATTCTTATGTTCTTATGTTCTTATGTTCAAGAGATTAACTCATCGTATTCAAAGGGTGAACTTGTACTTCTTACAAAGGTACATTGGGACCGCATGTACAACAGGGGATTACATTGGTACCTTCACACACAGAAACCACAGAGGAACATTGTTCCATTGTACAAGAGAAGCAGATTGTACAGTATGTGCGGTGCTTCACTCGCCACCTGAAGAGTATGTACTCCAATGGTACTTCATAAAGAGTCCATTGGTATATTGGTCCAGCGTTTGTACTCAGTAGCACATGAAAGGGAAATACTGAGTACTATTGTTAATAACGTATTGTGCTAAATGTCCTCTTAACACACACACACTCAACGAACAGAGTACGAGATGGAACTTTATGGACTCATGTACTCATATGTGTTGTACCTGGCCGCCAATCAGCTTGAAGATGGCCACCACCTTCTCGTTGCCATTCGTCAGCTGGCCCTCCAGTTTGTCCAACGCTTGTGATGCATGGCCCTGTAAACACCAGCTCTTGTAATGTTTGTTATTATTATTATTATTATTATTATTATTATTATTATTATCATTATTATTATTATTATTATTATTATTAACCACCAATTGACCACTAAAATCATTATCATCAACATTACTACAGTATAGTTGAGCCCTACGTCAAGCACTCGTGTCGCCATCCTCAACTTCTGCACACAATAGTCAGCTCCCCGCTTCACTAGGTCCGCTATGTCATACATGTACCGCGTCAGGCTGTTCTTCACCTCTCTGATCTCTTGTACCATGTTATGTACCTTGTCCTTAGCCTGTGTGTGGTGGAGGGAGAACAATATTCAGTTATACATTTGTTACTTTAACCACTATTACCATCACTATCATCATCACTATCATCATCACTATCATCATCACTATCACCATCACTATCATCATCACTATTATCATCACTATCATCATCACTATCATCATCACTATCATCATCACTATCATCATCACTATCTCACCATCATCATCACTATCATCATCACTATCACCATCACTATCATCATCACTATCATCATCACTATCATCATCACTATCATCACCATCATCATCACTATCATCATCACTATCATCATCACTATCATCATCACTATCATCATCACTATATCATCACTATCATCATCACTATCATCATCACTATCATCATCACTATCACCATCACTATCACCATCACTATCACCATCACTATCACCATCACTATCATCATCACTATCACCATCACTATCACCATCACTATCATCATCACTATCATCATCACTATCACTATTATCATCACTATCATCATCACTATCATCATCACTATCACCCTCATCACCCTCATTTTCCTCACCGTCACCCACTGAGACGCAAACCAGGAAATGACGGCGGAAGGGGAGATTGACCTCGTGTCGTCTTTATTCTCCACGTCGTCCTCCACCTTGTCCTCCACCTCCTTGTCCTCCACCACCTCGTCCTCCTCCACCTCGTCCTCCTCCACCTCGTCCTCCACCTTGTCCTCAACCACCTCGTCCTCCACCTTGTCCTCCAACACCTCGTCCTCGACCACCTTGTCCTCCTCCTCGGGGTGACCATCTTCTGGGGCGGGCAGGGCATAGACAGAGTCGTTGTAGTCGTCTAGCGTGGTGGTCATGACGGGTCGTGGTGGTGGTGGTGGATGTATGTTATTGCCTCCATCACTGTCCCTGGAAGTTGGCCCATGTTAATATTGTTACAGACAAGTGTTACAATGTTGCCTTGCGGGATGCCATAAAACTCACACGCTCCAGGTCCCGACCACGAAGATGCCGCCAACTTTAAAACTACCCTCAGACACTCTTGGGTACATCCAGGGTGTCATCCGTGAATAATCGAAGGTCGCGAATTAAAAATTTGCGAAGTGTAAGGTCGACCTGTGGTGTAATAGTCAGCATTCTCGCCTCGCAAGCGAGCGGACTCGGGTTAGATCCCCGGGCAGGGTGAAACTATGGGTAAGTTTCTTTACGCCATTTGCCTCTGTCTACCCAGCAGTAATTGGGGACCAGGATGTTAATCGAGTTGTGGATCGTATTCCCGGGTAATGGTTAGCCAGTGCAGTTGGCGAGTTGTCCGGTCTTCTTGGACTATTCCTTGACACTGGGTCATGCAGCTCGTTAACTTAGGGTGTGGTTGTTGTGTTGGTGACAGCGTCTACACTTTAACAAATTCACGCCTAGTTGGCCCTTGGGCCGGCCATCCTCGTTACACGAGAAACAACCGTTATATACAGTACATATAATGTTGCCTGGTGCCATTGTTATTGTTACTATTGGAATGAGTGCCAGTGGTGTTAAGAGGTCATAGTGCCATTGGTGTTAAAGAGAGGTCATAGTGCCATTGGTGTTAAAGAGAGGTCATAGTGCCATTGGTGTTAAGGAGAGGTCATAGTGCCATTGGTGTTAAAGAGAGATCATAGTGCCATTGGTGTTAAAGAGAGGTCATAGTGCCATTGGTGTTAAGGAGAGGTCATAGTGCCAGTGAGAGGTCATAGTGCCATTGGTGTTAAAGAGAGGTCATATGCCATTGGTGTTAAAGAGAGGTCATAGTGCCATTGGTGTGTTAAAGAGAGGTCATAGTGCCATTGGTGGTAATAGAGTTTATAGTGCCAACACACGACTCACCTGCCATCTTGAGTGTCGTAGTCGTAGTTATGGTCGCCGTAAGTGTAGTCGTAGTTGTGGTCGTCAGAGAAGTGGCTCAGTGGCTCTTCGGCAGCCATGCGTCGCGGGGCTCTCTGGCTGCTGTGAAGGATTGAGGGTGTGTCAATCTTCCTTCTGTTTTCATTAGGAAATAACAGTAGCTTACGGCACAGCTACAGGTGAGGATGTAGAGGCGTATACAGGTACAGGTGAGGATGTTGAGGCGTATACAGGTACAGGTGAGGATGTAGAGGCGTATACAGGTACAGGTGAGGGTGTAGAGGCGTATACAGGTACAGGTGAGGATGTAGAGGCGTATACAGGTACAGGTGAGGATGTTGAGGCGTATACAGGTACAGGTGAGGATGTAGAGGCGTATACAGGTACAGGTGAGGATGTAGAGGCGTATACAGGTACAGGTGAGGGTGTAGAGGCGTATACAGGTACAGGTGAGGATGTAGAGGCGTATACAGGTACAGGTGAGGGTGTAGAGGCGTATACAGGTACAGGTGAGGACAAATGTTTTGGTACAGGTGCTACTACAAGACGTATTATTATTATTATTATTATTATTATTATTATTATTATTATTACAATTATTATTATTATTATTATTATTATTATTATTATTATTATTATTATTATTATTATCATTATTATTATTGTTATTGTTATTGTTATTGTTATTGTTGCTGTTGTTGTTGTTGTTGTTTATAACGAAGCCATGTCTTATAAATAAATATAAAAATAACTTAACAGTAATTATCTTGACTCAACATTACAACACCTCACACTTCCCCTCTTCTGACGTCATCACTTCCCCCCCTCTTCTGACGTCATCACTTCCCCTAGTCACGTCCGCCACACCAGGAAGTCAAGTCACTTTCATATCACATACAGTTTTTTTTGTCAATTTATTTTATATTTTTCCTTATTTTAAGGGCAATATTTCGTTATGTTTTTACCTTGAAATAAATGTTACTAAGTTTACGTTATCAAAAGTGAACGATAGTGAGTCTCTGTCTTTGTTGAATGTGATTTATTTACGGTTCATGAGAGAGTAATAACAAAAGAAAGAAAATGAAACACACACACACACACACACACACACTCTCTCTTACCTTCCCCCTGTTAATTCATAGTCGTAGTTCAGGTCGTAGCTGTAGTTAGGGTCATTCTGCATAGCCACTCTGTTGGGCGGGTAGTTAGGCTCGTTTTGTGGAGCCACTCTGAAATGCGGGTAGATAATCTTGACCATCCTGGCCTGACCTCTAACCACTAATAAGGCTAGGAGGGTCAAGCTCGTTAGTAAGGTCATCCGCATGTTGCTGGCTGGTGAACTCTGTAAATGAATAGTTGTAAATGAGTTGTAAATAGATAGTGGCCACGGGGGTTGTAAATGGAAAGTCTCAATGGGTTGTAAATGAGTTGTAAATGAAAAAACTTAATAGTTTGTAATTGAATGAGTCTTTATCACGAGTTGTAAAAAAAACTAATTCAATGAGATGTAAATAAAGAGTTGTAATGGATTGCTAAAGAGAAAGGTACACAAGGGGTTGTAATAGTCACAGTTGTAAATGAATAAAACAGTTGTGGTGAGTTGTAACAATATTGCAAGGTTGTAAATCAATAAAGTTTTCCTGTTTATTAATTTATTTTACATTTGTGATATAAGTTCTTGGTGAGGAGGAAGGGAGGGGGGTGAGATAAATGGGGGTGTGTGAGGAAAGAGGAGATAGTGTGGGGTGTGAGGAAAGAGGGAAAGGAGGGCATGGTGTGGGGGGTGTGAGGAAAGAGGGGGGAAGAGGGAGAGATAATTGTGGGGGGTGTGAGGAAAGAGGGGGGAAGAGGAAGGGACGTGTGGAAGAGAGAGAGAGGAAACAGTTGGTCGGGCCACACACACACACACACACACACACACACACAACCTTGACCACCGAAGGGTCAAGGCGTACCTGGCGCTCCTCCAGCAGCAGCCAGGTCAACTGTTATGTTGGCCCATACCAACTCCCTCCCCTGAACCCTCCTCCCCACCGGAATATTAACAAATTCTCGCCAGAAGTTACAATTTCATTAAGGAAAGGAATGGAACCAGTGTTGAACGGAGGTGAACAGTGGTGAACAGTGCTTAAGTCAGTGAGAACAACTCAACAGTAACAGCCGAGTCGTGCCCAAGTTAACCTTCACACAGTGAGGTCCCAGGTACCCAGTGATAACTGCCCATGAGACCCAACAACAACCAGCGATGTGTTAATCCGTTTACGATAGGGAGGCTTGGGGCCACACCTCACTCATATAACACCATCTGTGAGGGAATTACTACACCCCGTGAGGCCCCTCATAACACCATCTGTGAGGGAATTACTACACCACGTGAGGTCCCTCATAAGACCATCTGTGAGGGAATTACTACACCATGTGAGGTCCCTCATAACACCATCTGTGAGGGAATTACTACACCACGTCAGGTCCCTCATAACACCATCTGTGAGGGAATTACTACACCACGTCAGGCCCCTCATAACACCATCTGTGAGGGAATTACTACACCACGTCAGGTCCCTCATAACACCATCTGTGAGGGAATTACTACACCACGTCAGGCCCTCATAACACCATCTGTGAGGGAATTACTACACCACGTGAGGTCCCTCATAACACCATCTGTGAGGGAATTACTACACCACGTCAGGCCCCTCATAACACCATCTGTGAGGGAATTACTACACCACGTGAGGCCCCTCATAACACCATCTGTGAGGGAATTGCTGCACCACGTCAGGCCCCTCATAACATCATCTGTGAATTACTACACCACGTGAGGCCCCTCATAACACCATCTGTGAGGGAATTACTACACCACACGCCCTCACAACACCATCTGTGAGGGAATTACTACACCCCCCTCATAACACCATCTGTGAGGGAATTACTACACCACGTGAGGCCCCTCATAACACCATCTGTGAGGGAATTACTACACCACGTCAGGTCCCTCATAAGACCATCTGTGAGGGAATTACTACACCATGTGAGGTCCCTCATAACACCATCTGTGAGGGAATTACTACACCCCGTGAGGCCCCTCATAACACCATCTGTGAGGGAATTACTACACCACGTCAGGTCCCTCATAAGACCATCTGTGAGGGAATTACTACACCACGTGAGGTCCCTCATAACACCATCTGGGAAGGAGTTACTACACTACGTGTTTGCTGTTCAACACCTACATTAATCTGTATGTTCACTGTATGTTCCTTTACCTTTCTCTAATGAAGGCTTTTGTTAAACCACCAATGTATGTAATAAGTCATTTATGTCTAATGTATATTTTCAGCCTTCGGGCTGCAGAACTTTTTCAATAAACCGTTAATTATTATTATTTTATTTATTGTTATTATTTACACACACACACACAGACACACGTCATTTGCCACCTGCAGTCCCCCGCCCACCTCGCGCAGTCCGCCACTACAACAAAATTCAGCCCATAAGAGCCCGCACCGATAGATATAAGAACAGCACCATCCCATCTATTGTTAAAATAATAAACAACTCCTGATTTATGTACTGTACAGCCCTGTCAATGAATTGAACGAATATTATTATGTCTAAATCAAATGCAAGTTTATGTATTTTCAGCCACTGGCTGCAATCTCTATTAATAAACCGTTATTATTATTATTATTATTATTATTATTATTATTATTATTATTATTATTATTATTATTATTATTATTATTATTATTATTACACACACACACACACACACACACACACACACACACTAAAATATGTGCTGAAGATGCAAGACACAATTATTACTTTAACAATAATTAAGAACATCACATGAAGATTAGACACCCCAGCTTATTGCCCTTGAAGGTAAGGTTAGGTTAGGTTAGGTTAGGTTAATATCTCATATAATCAGAGAGGGAATCAGTAGTAACAAAGGGCAAATTAAATTGAAATATTAAAAATTTCCTAAGTTGATTGAATGTTAATATCACTCGTATGTAAACGGAGAATATCCCGTAGGAGGAAGACTTACCTTCAGGATAGTGTGTGTGTACTGACGGAGGCCTCTGTAGTAGTGTGTGTTGCTGCCCCGTGTTGACTGACATTTGTGTTGTGGTGCAAGTGTCCTTATTCCTTCTCTCCCCGCTCTCTTCCTCCCTCTCCCTCCTCTCTCTCTATCTCATGCTCCCTCTCCCCCCCTCCCTCCTCTTCCTCTCCCCTCCTTCTATCATCTCCTCATCTTAATTTCAACTAATCGTCCTTCTCGTCTCCCTCCTCCCTCTCTCCCTCCTCCCCCCTCCCTCCTCTCTCCCTCCCTCCTCCTCTCTCTCCTCCCTCCTCCTTCCCTCCCTCCTCCCTCCTCCCTCCCTCCTCCCTCCCTCCTCCCTCCCTCCCTCCTCTTCTTTCCTTCTCCTTGTCACTTCACCGCTGACCTTTGACCTTTGACCTCTGGGTGCTACAAATGTACTAAACTATTCAACCTTTATGCCTGTTTGGTTTTAGGGGAGAGGGGTGAGGGGAGGGAAGAGGGAGGAGAGGGTGAGGGGAGGGATGGGGGAGTGAGGGAGGGGGTGACACTGAGATAGTGCTTACACTGACTTTAATTTGATACGGTCCAATCCTCTCTCCCTCCCTCTTTCTCCCTCTCACTTTCCTTCTTTCCTTCCTCCGGTCTTCCTTTCGTCTTTCCATCTCCTCCCATCTTCTTCCCTTTCCCTCCTCTCCCTTCTCCTCCTTTTCCTTATATTCCCTTCCTTCATCCTCTCTCGTTTTCCTTCCCATAGACATCGCATGTTCTTCCACATCTCGTCTATAATCTATCGTTGACAGTCACCCCCACTCCTGTCTATAGTCTATCGTTGACAGTCACCCCCTCAGTAGCTGCCTCCCCACTGCTCTGCCTCCATAGCTGTCTTCACGTCTTCCTCTTCAGACAGACAGACAGACAGACAGACATATCTACAGTTGTATATGTTCCTGTCATCACACCCGTCTGTCTGTCTGTCTGTCTGTCTCCACTATCTTGTTTTCTGTAGTGTTTGAGCTGTGGCTGATGGTCGTATCCGGGGGGTCGTGTGTATAATTATGATTAGTGACTGTATCGAGCACACACACACACACACACACCACCACACACACACACACACACACACACACACCCACACACACACACACACACACACACACACACACACACACACACACACACACACACACACACACACACACACACACACCCACACACACACACACACACACACACACACACACACACACACACACACACACACACACACACACACACACACACACACACACACACACACACACACACACACACACACACACACACACACACACACACACACACCCACACACACACACACACACACACACACACACACACACACACACACACACACACACACACACACACACACACACACACACACACACACACACACACACACACACACACACACACACACACACACACACACACACACACACACACACACACACACACCACACACACACACCCACACACACACACACACACACACACACCCACACACACACACACACACACACACACACACACACACACACCCACACACACACACACACACACACACACACACACACACACACACACACACACACACACACACACACACACACACACACACCACACACACACACACACACACACACACACACACACACACACACACACACACACACACACACACACACACACACACACACATTCCCATTCCCAAATATGTAACTGTATATTTTCAGCCTTCTGGCTGCCAGCTCTTCAATAAACCGTTAATTATTATTATTATTATTATTATTATTACACACACACACACACACCCCCCTCCCACACACACACACACACACACACACACCACACCACACACACACACACACACACACACACTTAGCCATAACGACGTTTTAATCATCCAAACTTGTTCAGTAGTCTTTAAGGTTAACATTTGGAGACTTTATGACATTGAGTGTTGTAGGCGGGCAGGGCAGGATGCGGGGCGGGGCAGGATGCGGGCGGGGCAGGATGCGGGCGGGCACACGAAGGGTGCGGGGCAGTGTATTGTGGCGTGTAGTCAGGGAGAAGGAGGAGTGGTGGAGCTGGACGAAGCGTAGTGGGACAAGGAGGCGAGAAGGGGTGGGGCGAGGCGGGCGGGCGGGGTGGGCAGGCGCGAGGTAGTGGTATGTAGGATGGGGGCAAGTCATAAATAACAGGCAGGTTATCGGAAAACAAAGGAGAGAGAGAGAGAGCATATTTGACGATGAAACATTATATTACAAGGATATTCAGGCAAACATAAGTCTCTCTCTCTCTCTCTCTCTCTATGAGCCTCAGAAGGTGCTGGTGAGGGCCTCTAGTTCATTGGATTACTATTGACGAGACCATAACCATGTCCCTCCTCCTGCCCTTGATGGAGACACGCTATTGGCTGTGGGAGATAAGAAACCTTGGGCTGTTGAGGAGATGGGGACCCTATTGGCTGTTGAGGAGGAGACACCCTATTGGCTGTTGAGTGAGATGGAGACACCCTATTGGTTGTTGAGGAGATGGAAGAAACCCTAGTTGTTGAGTGAGATGAAGAAACCCGATTGGCTGTTGAGTGAGAAGGAGACACCCTATTGCGTTGAGTGAGAAGGAGACACCGTATTGGCTGTTGAGTGAGATGGAGACACCCTATTGGCTGTTGAGTGAGATGGAGAAACCCTATTGGCTGTTGAGTTGCCGGATACACTGTGTTTGACTTGCCGGATACACGGTGTTTGACTTGCCGGATAACGTGTTGACTTGCCGGATACACGGTGTTCGCTTGCCGGATACACGGTGTTCACTGCCGGCTACACTGTGTTCGACTTGCCGAATACACTGTGTTCGACTTGCCGGATACACGGTGTTTGACTTGCCGGATACACGGTGTTCAACTTGCCGGATACACGGTGTTTGACTTGCCGGCTACACGGTGTTCAACTTGCCGGATACACTGTGTTCAACTTGCCGGATACACCCAGACGAGCGGATGTGAGCCTCAAGGAATTCCCCCATGTTATGATAGCACGTTATATATATACTGTACGTGTTATTGGAATTACCAGTTGATTACAGGGAGGACGGACTCTTGTGACACAGTGGTACAGTGATACAACAGCAGTGCTACAGTGACCAGAATACAATAACAGTGAAACAACAGTGAACTGAACCAGAGGGAGGGAGTTGACATTAAGCTTCCGTTGCCATAGTCATTCTCACAGTTGCCATTTAGACTTCCCGACAGCAGTTCTAAGTTGTCGTTTGGGTGTGTACCGTTTGTTGCTGTTGTTGTTGACATATTTTGACTGAGACGGTTTTGAACATAGGAATAATGTATTACTACACTTCAACACAACTCTCTCTCTCTCTCTCTCTCTCTCTCTCTCTCTCTCTCTCTCTCTCTCTCTCTCTCTCTCAAAACACCCCTTGCGACAACAAACACTTCTATCTCAACTGTTTTTATTTAATCTCCGGAAATTATAAACCACATTAGTGTAAATATCTCACTCGTCAGGGGAAACAATCGGTATTTTTAACCTTAGGCGATAAACTCCCCCGTGTGATTGTTTTGTGGAGAGGAGGAAACATCTCTTAATTGTTAATTGTGTCGTCCAGAATTAACGTCAAGTTGTGTTTTGCTTCTCTTGCTTTCTCTCGTTAAACTGTGGACAGGTATTAGCGTTTTAAATGTGTAGGAAGAGTTTGTGAAATAACGTATGTTGGTATGAAAATCAGGGGAGTGTTTAGTATTTATCTGATGGGAGGATAACAGCTGATCATATGTAAACAAAGGCCACGTGGGCGTCTGAGAATCCACCTTCTGACCAACCAGTCTGGCCAACCAGCTGTAGTAATTGGGCCACTTTGGTGTTATCATCCACTATCTTCACTTGTAGTTTATCCAGGATCTCCGGAAACATAAGATAATGAATAAAAAGACAGGAAGAATCAATGATAAAGATATAATAGAGAGAATGATCGATAGCCAAGAGTAGATTAGAGTAGAGATATTAGCTCTCTCTCTCTCTCTCTCTCTCTCTCTCTCTCTCTCTACACCATCAGACCCACCCCACCCACACCCACCCACCCCACACCCACATATTTCTTCCCCCCTGCCTTCCGCCTTAAGACTTATCGTGTTGACTTACAATTACTCTGGATATGTTTATTTGAGTGGATCCTGGTGCCTGTGAACCTAACCCGTGATGTATACCTGTGATTGTTTGCTCTCTTTTGTTTACGACTGGTGTATATTTCTTGACTTCTTCTTCTTCTTCTTCTTCTTCTTCTTCTTCTTCTTCTTCTTCTTCTTCGTCTTCTTTCTTTCTTTCTTTCTTTCTTTCTTTCTTTCTTTCTTTCTTTCTTTCGTCTTCTTCTTCTTCTTCTTCTTCTTCTTCTTCTTCTTTCAGTTTTATTCTTTTCTCTCATTCTTATATATTCCCATTTCCTTCTTTCTTCCGTTTCTTTTGGTTCTTCTCCTATTTTCTTTCTTTTAATTGTTTCTCTTTCCTCTTCTTTCCTATATTTTTTTCGAATTATTGTCTCTCTTCTTTCTTCTGCTTCTTTCATTCGTCGTTTCTTTTCCATTTCCCTCATCCTTTTTCAACTTTCCTATCTTCCAGGTCTTTTTTTTCCTTATTTCATTTCTTTCTTTCCACCTCAGTTCTTTCTACCATCATTCCTTTTGCTTTCACCTTCTTTATCACACCTTTTATTATCCTTCCGTATATTACCGTTTTTGCAGCCTAGTCCTCTCTCTCTCTCTCTCCCCCCCCCCCTTGAAGCTTGCTTATAGAGTCCCTTTACACGCTAATGAAAGGCTTACACTATGTTCATTATAAAGGCAACCGGCCCGAGGGAGTGAGTGTGTGTGTGTGTGTGTTGGTCGACAGTGTTTGGTGTAGCAGTGGTAGTCGCCGTCCCCTCATAGTTTTCTGTGTTGCGTCCTTGAGTGCATAAGTCTTCCCCTGGGGTCTGTACCTGGGCTGGGTGTTCGTAGTGTGGGTCTAAGAGAGTTTAATTTTTCG